TTGCAACATTATTCCACATCTTTCTATGGTATACTGAAAAACAATGATAAGCATATCATAAGTTTTAAAGGTTTTTATTGGCAAAAAAATATAATGAGTCAATATTTACAGTGTTGACCCTTGTTCTTCATAACCTCTGCAGTTCGCTCTGGCATGCTGGATATTAGCTTCTGGGCCAAGTCCTGACTGATGGCAATCCATTCTTGCCTTATTAGTTTTCGGAGTTGATCACAATTTGTGGGCTTCTGCTTGTCCACTCGCCTTTTGAGGACTGACCACAGGTGCTCTATGGGATTGAGATCTGGGAAGTTGCCTGGCCACGGATCCAAAATTTCAATGCACTGATCTTCAAGCTTCTTCTTTATCACTCTTGCTTTGTGACATGGTGCTCCATCATGCTGGAAAATGCACGGATCATCACCAAATTGCTCATGGATCGTTGGAAGAAGTCGCTCTTGCAGGACGTTTTGATACCATTCTTTATTCATGGAAGTGTTTTTGGGCAGAATTATGAGAGAGCCCACTCCCTTGGTTGAAAAGCAACCCCACACATGGATGGCCTCAGGATGCTTCACTGTTGGCACGTTAAAGGACTCATGGTAGCGTTCACCTTTTCTTCTCGAAACAATCAATTTTCCAGATGTCCCTAGCAGTCGGAAGGGAGATTCATCAGAGAAAATAACTTTGCACCAATCTTCTGCTGTCCAATCCTTGTACTTCCTGCAGAATTTCAGTCTGTCCTTGACGTTTTTCTTGGAGAGAAGTGGCTTCTTTGCTGCCCTTCTTGACACCAGGCCGTTGTCCAAAAGTCTTTGCCTCACTGTGTGTGCAGATGCTCTCACACCAAACCTGCTGCCATTCCCGAGCAAGCTCTGCACTGCTGGTGACATGAATCCGTAGCTGACTCCTCAGGAGGAGACGGTCCTGGCGTTTGCTGGACACTCTGGGACGTCCTGAAGACTTCTTCACTGCAGTCGAACCTCTCTCCTTGAAGTTCTTGATGATCCGGTAAATGGTTCTTTCAGGTGCAATATTCTTTGTAGCAATTTCCTTGCATGTGAGGCCATTTTGATGCAAAGCGATGATGGCTGCATGTGTTTCTTTGGAGGTAACCATTGCTAACAAGAACACAATGATTGAAATCGTGACTATTGAAAATCCGTGTTGCCCAGCGACAGCCCCAAAACATTACTGCTCTAGAGGAGATCTGCATGGAGGAATGGGCCAAAATACCAGCAACAGTGTGTGAAAACCTTGTGAAGACTTACAGAAAACATTTGACCTCTGTCATTGCCAACAAAGGGTATATAACAAAGTATTGAGATTGACCAAATACTTATTTTCCACCATAATTTGCAAATAAATTCTTTAAAAATCCTACAATGTGATTTTCTGGATTTTTTTTCTCATTTTGTCTCTCATAGTTGAGGTATACCTATGATGAAAATTACAGGCCTCTCTCATCTTTTTAAGTGGGAGAACTTGCACAATTGGTGGCTGACTAAATACTTTTTTTCCCCACTGTATATATATTTATGAGCAATATCACACCAGTAGCAGTGCAATATGGCTGTATATCAGCACGGCTGTGATTCAGCAGTAGATAATCACAGCCGTGCTGATATACACCAATATTGCACTGCTACGAGTGTGATATTGCATTTATACAACAGTTTGACAGCACGAGTGGGTAAATACATAAGAAACAACAACGGAGTTTCTTTAAAAACCTTCTTTTGTGCAGAACTACTTCCTTTCGCCACAGATTCAAATCTCAGTTTGACAGTTTAACAGCTGAGCTCAAGATCCGTTACTAATTCGAAAACGTCACTTTAGGACTAGTAACGAAGGAACGTTAAGTTGCTTAAAAGCTTTTTTTTGCATTAAAAGCTTATTGTCTTACTGTATTAAAAGCTGTGTATTATGCAGAGTATTATGAGAGAGAGATGGACTGAGCGAGTGTGATTACCTGCATCTGATCCAGCATTCAGTCTTCAGCTCAATCTCATATATAAAACATTAGTTTGAATGTCTGCTGAGGAAAGCGATATCTTTGTCATACTATCCTTTCATCTGTTAAGGGTGATTTCCGATGACAGTGCTGCTGAGTGCATTTGTTGGTTGTGTCTTACCAAACCAAACTTATTTTAAAAAACAGACACTTGAACTTACATCAGTGTGATAAAAACGTCATAAAATGACAAAAACCATCTTTTGAAAAAAATTATTTGAAGTGTAATTTATTTATTTAGTTTGTCTCACATCCCATTAGATTACATGGAGAGGACGGGGTTTATGACCTATACTGGGTCCAGCCACCTTGGGGCGATCAAAACCTTTTAGCTTCACTTTTCAGGACTTGTGCAGCACACTTGTAGTTGTAATCGAATCCACATCCAACCACGCAATGGGTTGTGGGCAACATTAGCCGTTAGATTGTGCACGGATCTGCATTTCGAATTTCCACTAGAGCCATCTGGGTACCTTTGGGATCCTCATTTCAATATACTAAGATTTGTGACACTAATACTAATTTTGAATATTATTTAGGACATATAGTATGTGAACTGGGACGCAGCATTTGAAATCAAATAGCTTTCCATTATGACTGCGCTCTTCGCTAATTCGCGCAGTACCTGAGTGTAGGATAATTGACTCCTCCCCCAGTAATACAACTGTTTATACTTGTAGCCTAGAATTAAATATAGGCATTAGGCTACATGCTTAATCATATTAATATTTTGTAGGTTTTAATGTTTTTATTATTATTGTTTACAATTAAAGTGACATACAGAGTGAAAAGGCCCGTCCTAGCTCCACCCTAGGCTAATTTAAACGTTTTTGTCCATCCATGCCAGAAATAATGGCATCTCTAAATAATTTTCCCAATTAAAACATTTATTACAGTTTGCCAGTCAGTGTGCCTCTTAATATTATTATTAACCCATTTTACGGTAGCATTTTTACAGTTTTTAAGTGAACTATTTCTATTACTAATGTTCATAAGGATTCTTCTACTTCTGAATGATAAATCAGAAGTAAACACTGTAAACAGAATTTTTCTTTACATGTGGGTTTCTGCTTTTGCAGAAGCCAAATAAAGAAGTAATGGGTATGAAGTGGCTTTCCTATAAGCCAAGGTTCCTCAAATCTTGCCCTGGAGGGCCAATGCGCTACAGAGTTTAACTCCAACCCTACTCAAACTCACCTACCTGTGATTTTCTAATGATCCTGAAGACATTGATTAGCATGCTCAGGTGTGTTTGATTAGGGTTAGAGCTAAACTGTGCAGGAAAGTGGATCCCTGCTATAAGCCATGGCAGGGGGGTAATTGTTGTTGACTCAGGTTGGAATAAACAATGTCTACAAAGCGATGTCCATTTCTTGACTGGTTAATTTAATGAACAAACAACATTTACAATAAAAGCATGTGGAGCTAAGAACCATATGTTCCCCCGTACCTGTTCAATACATCCTCAAGGGAAGGTTAATATGTTATGTTGAACAGGTGAGCTACATCTACTCACCACAGTGCACATCGTCCTCTAGTGGTGAAATAATCACATTTTAGCTCCTGCTTGTCCAGGTAGACTGTCCTCATTCCAGTGATGAAGATGATGATGAAGGAAGCGTTGACAAAGATGGAGTAAGGTCTTCTACTTACTACATCACACCTGTGCTAACTGTCTTCGAGAAATTATTTGTTTGATTTTTTTGCATGTAAAATCTTATCTGGAGCTCCAGCAACCCCAGAGTATAAAACAGTTCACTCCTACAACCTTTACAATGTCTGTGCACTTTTGTAATCATTGGAAAATAACCTTTTTTTACAACCTGTGTACAATCAGCACTTTTACATATTGGCGTCAAATCAGGGCACAGAAGTGCTTCTGAAGTGGCATTTAGGTGTCTTTACACAGACTGTTTAATGCTGCTCAGAGGAGGCATAATTGCATTTCCACAGCAATTTCAACTGTATGCTGTGATACTATCAGCTGAGGAGGGTCAGAGCAGGCTTAACTGCAGGGCATTGCACCTTTACACAAAATTTGAGCAGGCACAGAGCAGCCTTAACTTGGCAGTGTAAAGACGCCTTAGGAGACACATTTTAAGGCAACTCATATGATGTACTCATTTCACATCACTAATGCTACTTAACAGGTTTTACCGTATGACCCCAGATTGTGTCAACCTTTTCAAATCATTGTGAATGAACGTCACAGTAACAGCATGTTGTCTAACTCTTGTTTTGTTAATTTAATAAAAACACATCAGAATTCAAACAAATACAAAACTGAAAAAAATAACTTTTGAGACCCACACGGCAAAGAATGCAGAAGCTTCACATTAACAATAACACGTAAATAATAAATGGAGCTTTTTCTGTGAGCTGGTGTAACTTAGGTATTCATAACTGATGGCAGAGGTCTAACGGAGTAGTAGTGGTATTAGTGCATATGCAGAAATGATATGAATACACATCAGATCGTGTGAAACTGTATTTGCCTACTTAAACATTACAAGAGTGATACATGTTTAATAATAAGTAGTGCCTTTTCAACTGTCCCGTCTCATTTTGTGCTCTAAACAGTGAACCGACATGATTCATTCAGATGATTAAATCTGACATACGCATGCCCTTTCATATATCAACACCTAAACCCGTTTAAAAAAAACGTCTGGGGACATTTATATTTATAAAAATAAACATTTTGCACATGAAAATGAAGCCTTATTGTGAAATTCCTATTATTGTCAGTTTTGATTTTTATTAGATGATCAGTGCTGTATATCTTTTACGGCATTGCCGTAAAGAAAAATACTGTAATACAATACATTTAAATTTCTAATACAATAAAAATAATTATATTGTAAAGGTTTCCCAATGGTCTTTCAAAAGGCTTAATTTTTAAGCAAAATGTCAAAGAAAAATACTGTAATACAATACATTTAAATTTCTAATACAATTAAAATAATTATATTGTAAAGGTTTCCCAATGGTCTTTCAAAAGGCTTAATTTTTAAGCAAAATGTAATTTCTTATTTTCTTTTTATAATTTTGTGGTGAAATGAACTTGTTTTTGATGACTGCTATCAGTTTATGTTACCTGCTGACAAGAATGTCACCAAAAACCACCATCAGTACTGACATTACCTTCTGACATAAATGACTTTATGGTGGATGAATGTGATCAATGAAAAAAACTTGATGCATTTGGGTTCAAATTGAAATGGAAATTTCATCTCACCAAACCAAAAACAAGATATTCAAAGTTCAAAAAGCACATTTAGATGAAACATAAGACCCCTGCATAAGACCCCCAGATTGTAAAAACAAAGAAAAAAGACTTTGCAGAAAGCAGATTTCAAAGAAACAAAACCCCTTAAACCAACTTGGAAGAAGAAAGACTTGAAGGCACCAGTGAAATGTTTACACACGAATTTCAGATCAAATAAAATTTGACTCCTCACCTGCTACAATCCCATCAAAAAAATTGAAATAAATACTCGAAACCGACTTTCTTGAGCTGTAAAACTACATATAAAAGATGGGAAAGTCTGCTGAAAGTCACGAGATAAATTACATTCAAAAAACCGTCCTTCAATGGTTATTCTGCAAAGCGGAATAGCATTTCATATAAAACAAAATAAATATTCTTTCTTACTTTTTTGGACACAAATCAGTTCTAATTGTGTCAGACTGCAAGGAAAAAACTGAGCTCACTGAATAGTGTCTTTAGAGCACTGGTGCTTTCAGTTCATCAAGAGGTTCATAGAGAAAGAACACCCAAACTGAAGATTGCAGACAACTATTTCCAGCACACCAGAGCCTCCAATTAAAGCAGTTTGATGGGTTACCCAAACCAATTATCGTCACTTAGTTTCCAGAGATAAAAATATCTTGCAAGGCAGAATTTGAGAGTTGCGCATAATGAGAGCAAGAGGAAAAGAGGGAGAGCAGATTCACACACACCACAGTTCCCACCCCCAAAAACGGCTCGTCTTCACGTGTCTTTGGCTATACCTTACTCCTGAAGAGCGGCTTGGCTCCTGGCCCACAGTACTCATTGTAGATGAGTTTGAAGAGGAAGAGGTGGAAAAGCGTGATGAGGGACGCCACGCTGAACCAGAAGAGGAAGGGCAGGCCTGGGTACTGCTTGGCCATGTGGTCCTCGTGAGCCAAGATGGCCTTGACGTGGATCGTGTGTCTCAGGTCTTGCAGGTGAGTGAGATCAGTGGAGATGTACAGCAGAGGCGTGATGGGCTGGGTCACCATCACCGGAAACGTGTGGCCTCGCAGCTCCGAGGTCAGCTCCACAGGCTCGTTCATGCAGCCGGCCTCGCAGGCGTACAGCTTCACGGGTTTCTCCTGAGGCTTGACGGACACATGCAGGAAGGGCTTGCCCTCAGCGTCCTGCAGCACGGCCAGGTTAATAAGGTCTTTATTGTAATGGATGCCCCTCAAAGAGTAGCTGTTGTGAAGAACATCCGGGTCGGCTTGGAACTGAAGGTGGTTTTCGGTGAACTGCAGACCGCCGAAACTCAGGACCATGCCTTGCATCATACCGTGAGTGCCTGCTGCCACGAGGACCTTGCATCCTCTCTTCTGGAAGGTCAGGTTCCAGAGATTCACCAGCTGCAGGATCTGAGCCACGTTGGTCAGGCGCTCCGGCCACAGGTTCTCGGCGTGCATGGTGGCGTGGCCGCTGAAGCAGTGGTCGGCGTAGTTCAGACTGGACTCCAGGCGTTCGTGCTCTTCTGCGGTCAGACTCTGATCCAGGAGGGGCGCTGTGGAGGTCGACAGAATGTAGTACAGCGTGTTGTTGACTGTGCGACTGGACGGAGTATGGGCGTCTGTGATCTTTCTGATTTCCACACCTGTAAAGCAGCAAAAGACTATGAAACATGTCCTTTTAGGTTCTTAAAGCAAGTGAATACATGAATAGAAACCTTAAAGGAGTCACATTATACTTAAAGGTAGGGTAGGCGATTTCAGAAAGGCTAGCAATAGAAATCTAACTCTGAAAGCATAAGATCCCACCCTCCCTGCAAATCACTCTCCAAAGCCTCCTGCAAAACACATGACCACGCACCGGCAGAGCAGAGGCTAACCAGCGACACGATGAGAGATGGTGTTGGTGGTGGATTGAATGCAACGCTGTCAGATTAGCTCATTTCTCATTCAACGGTGAGAAAACTTTACAGTACAAAGCTCTTAATATTACAATAATAATTAATGCCTTCCATTCACACTCGGTCTGCAATAGCGTAATGAACGTGCTGATGACTTATTAAAATATGCAAATATATACGTTGACAGGGAGTTAGGACAGCCTATCGTAATCCTCGGACAGAAAAATATGATTGGAATGAACATTTTATGGTCCCACACCTACTACAGATGATATGAAAATACATTTAGATCTCTTAACTTAGTGATTGCTATCGGGATGTGAAGAGAGACGAGTTAAAAGTACTAAAATATTATTCTTAAGTGAAAGTGAGTGGGTGTGGACTCTAACAAACTCTGGGTAGCTTCATCTTCACAGCCTGGCTCTGCACCGGTTCACCAAACAGACTATGGACCGATTGCGACTGAGTGAACCGAGTGAAAATTGTACTCAATTAAAAGAGCTCACATTATACTTAAAGGTAGGGTAGGCGATTTCAGAAAGGCTAGCAATAGAAATCTAACTCTGAAAGCATAAGATCCCACCCTCCCTGCAAATCACTCTCCAAAGCCTCCTGCAAAACACATGACTGCGCACCGGCAGAGCAGAGGCTAACCAGCGACACGATGAGAGATGGTGTTGGTGGTGGATTGAATGCAACGCTGTCAGATTAGCTCATTTCTCATTCAACGGTGAGAAAACATTACAGTACAAAGCTCTTAATATTACAATAATAATTAATGCCTTCCATTCACACTCGGTCTGCAATAGCGTAATGAACGTGCTGATGACTTATTAAAATATGCAAATATATACGTTGACAGGGAGTTAGGACAGCCTATCGGACAGAAAAATATGATTGGAACGAACATTTTATGGTCCCACACCTACTACAGATGATATGAAAATACATTTAGATCTCTTAACTTAGTGATTGCTATCGGGATGTGAAGAGAGACGAGTTAAAAGTACTAAAATATTATTCTTAAGTGAAAGTGAGTGGGTGTGGACTCTAACAAACTCTGGGTAGCTTCATCTTCCCACCCTGGCTCTGCACCGGTTCACCAAACAGACTATGGACCGATTGCGACTGAGTGAACCGAGTGAAAATTGTACTCAATTAAAAGAGTCTTGATCCTTCATATGGAATCATCTTCTCAATGCAAAATGTTTTGTCAGACATATGTATATGAGACTTCTACTTCAAATGAACACAAAGAAAGATCTTTAGAAAGAATAATCTATCTGTACGGATATAATGCACTGTACAGGACGTCCCAAGATGATACCTTAAAAACTGAACACATGAACACAACGGTAATCCATACAACCCCTGTTAATGAATCAATGTCGTCTTAAGCGAAACGATCAGTGTGTGTAAGGAAAAGACTTGAGGGTGAGCAAATGTTGTGCATTCAGCAAATATACTACACAGACAGTTATTGGCTATAACAAAACAAACAAAAATAATCAATAGCAACTTTGCTAGCTCAGTATGCTTCCTCAGATTTGATTACCAACGTTTCTTGGTAAGCCAGAAATTTCCCTGATGAAAGTTACAACTGAAGCTGAGGCGTGTGTGTTTGATGCGTGAAGACAACCCTCATTGGTTCTTGCACCTTTGAGCTTCCGTTTACCACATTTAATGTCTGTAAGAAAAAATAAAAATGTAACGAGTACTTTTCAAGTTGAAATCCCCCAAAACAATACTTAAGTACAGTGATCCAGTAAAATTACTTTAGTCTTTTACACCCCTGCAAACACTTGTAAAATGAGTAACAGCAAAGACACTTAGACTGCAGGTTGGCTTATATTATCTGCACTGTCCCAAGCAACTCATGTGTGTGCAACTGAACTAATGCACAAAGCATTAAATCATTATACTGTAGGTGTCATCTCTGTGTTTTTCTAACAACAAAATAGTCAACTGAATTAAAAAGAAAATTTCTCTTTGCTTTTACACGGTCTCTGGCCTTGTCAATGGACTCTGACCTGTTTTTAAACTCTTGAAGGCACGAGTGAAATATTTACACACATTTTTAATCAAATTCTCAAACTAAACAGCTTTTTTAAGCTGTAAAACAATTTAAAATATAAGGGAGAAATAACATTCCAAAAATGGCCCTTTAAGTAAAGCAAACAGTTATTGTGCAAAGTGGTATAGCATTTTTGTCTCAATTTATCTTGACATGTGAGGTGTCCCTGGCCTTGTAAGTGGACTCAAATCTCGTATTTATTTGTCTGAAAGTATAACAAGGAAATATATTCTGAATAATGCTAATAAGCGAACCTACTTTCATATTATTAATATATAATATAACGTGAACTGCATCAGATGGCATTCACATGGAGAATTTGCATATATATATATATATATATACACAATATATATAGTGTTCCTGTGGCTCAGTGGTAGAGCATTGCATTAGCTGCGCAAAAGGTTGTGCGTTCAATTCCCAGGGAACACATACTGGTAAAAAATTCATAGCCTGAATGCACTAAGTCACTTTGGATAAAAGCGTCTGCTAAATGCATTAATTAATAATTAATTAAAT